AAATCACATCAAACAACATCAAAATCACGAATCACAACCCAATTCAAGCTTAAAGAACTATAGAACTTCAAACTAAAACATTCGATGCCGAAACCTATCAAATCACGCCCGATTGACCTCGAATTTTGCACACAAGTCATATTCGACATTACGGGCCTACTCCAACTTCCGTAATCGGAATCCAACCCCGATACCAAAAAGTCCACTTCTGGTCAAACTTCTCAAAAACCTTCAAATTTCTCATTTTAGTCAAATGACTCCAAAATGACCTACGGACCTCCAAATCCACTTCCGGACGCGCCCCAATACCAGAATTACCATACGAAGCTATTCCCAGACTCGGAATCCCAAACGGGCATCGATAACACTGAAATGCACTTCAACCCAAACTTATGAAATTCTTCCAAAATGCTAACTTATTCAATAGGTGCCGAAACGCTCCTAGGTTATCCAAAACCCGATCCGGACATACGCCCAAGTCCGAAATCATCATACGAACCTGTTGGAACCTCCAAATCCCGATTCTGAGGTCGTTTACTCAAAAATCAAACCTTAGCCAATTCTTTCAACTTAAAACTTTCGAAATGAGACTTTTATTTCCAAATCAACTCCGGACTTACCGAAATTCCATTCCAACCATGCGTACAAGTCATAATACTTGAAGTGAAGCTACTCATGGCCTCAAACCGTTGAAAGACGTGCTAGAGCTCAAAACGACCGATCGGATCGTTACTGACCAAATAGGGCACCCCGTACAATTTTTACGGCGTCCTTTAGTCGCTGGCCCAATAAGCGACTTAGGGAGGGAGAAATTCAAAAATAGCCAGATTTACAAGTGGTCATTCAAAAATAACCACAGTTTCAAAAGTAATGGAAATTTAACCACTTTTCATGTAAAGATAAATCTGAACGAAAACACTGTTCAAAATTCGGAAAAATACTATAGTATAATATACTGGAACTCCAGTATATGATACTGGAGTTCTAGCATAAGTATATTGGAACTCCAGTATATTATACTGGAGTTCCAGTATAATATACCGATCCAGCATAATATACTAGAGATTGGAGCACCGGTGCTCGATATCCAGTATATTATACTGGAACTTTCCGCGTGTTGGATTTCCAGCATAATATGGTGGAAATTCTTACACAGGTGCACCGATCTCCAGTATATTATGCTGGAACTTTCTGTGTTGCAGCAAAATAGTGGCTATTTTTCAATTACTTTGCAAACGCTGGCTATTTTTGAATGACCAGTCCAAAAAATGGCTAGCCCGTGCTATTAGGCGACCTATAATGTACCCCCTATGTCTCATATTAACAGTCGTGGTTACTAAAAGTACTTGTCTCAAGTTATTTGTTATTTTAGAAGTTCAAGACAAAATTGATTATTTTTTCCTTTTCTACCCTTAGTAATAATTGTTCTTGAAGATAGAAATAACACATAAATAGAATAAATATTCAATGAAGAGAGATTATATTTTAAGACATAAATAAGGGTAGAATAGTCCAATCCCTTTTCTAATTAATATTTCTTAAGGGGCGTGTAAAAGAGAAACACGACACATAATATGAGACGGAGGGAGTACTAGACTAGTACTCATTTCCGTTAAATTTAGTGATTTTTACCCAAATAGCCGGCCAGTTTCACTGTTTACTTTTTCTAGCCGGTATATGTAGATTATACATTGATTATATATGATTATACACATATTATATATAGATTATACATATGTTATATATTATCCAGCTATTTTTAGTTTAATTAATTGGGTGAGTTGCTATTTAGGTTAAATCTTTTTTTAAACTATAAATAAATAATAAATCTCGGAAAAGGCCCATGTATAAAAAAGGGGGAAGTGCACAGTTAGCCACTAATAAGACATGTATTTATTTTTAAGCCACTGTTTAAAATGTCTTTAGCCTTTAGCCACTGCTTTAATAAACTTTACCCGTCCGGACGAAAATACCCTTCTGCTCATAAAGTTCAGCACCAAGTGTCCTTAACTTATGAGCTTGTTACTGTAAGTTCAGGACTAACTGTCCTTAATTTATGAGCTTGTTACTGTAACTTCAGGACTAGCTGTCCTTAATTTATGAGCTTGTAAGTCTAAGTTCAGGACTACATGTCCTTAATTTCTGTACCTGTAACTCTAAGTTAAGGACTAATTGTCCTTAATTTCTGTGCTTGTAACTCTAAGTTAAGGACCAAGCATCCTTAATTTTTGAACTTCCAATTCTATGTTCAAGACCAACTGTCCTTAACTTATGAGCTTGTTACTGTAAGTTCAGGACTAACTGCCCTTAATTTATGAGCTTATAAGTCTAAGTTAAGGACTACTTTTCCTTAGTTTTTGAACTTGTAACTCTAAGTTTAGGACTACCTGTCCTTAACTTTTAAGCTTGTAACTCTAAGTTCAGGACTACATGTCCTTAACTTTTGAACTTGGAACTCGAAGTTCAGGACTACCTGTCCTTAATTTTTGTCCTTGTAACTCTAAGTTAAGGACTGCCTGTCCTTAATTTCTGTGCTTGTAACTCTAAGTTAAGGACCAAGTGTCCTTAATTTTTGAACTTCCAACTCTAAGTTCGGGACCAATTGTCCTTGACACATCTAACTCCGCAATTTGAATTTGAGGAAGCGAAAATCTGAGAATGCATGTTTTAATGAAATTCCATAGGGAAAAAATACTTTTGCACTAGTTTTAATGTTTATCATTAGAATGTAATGATATGTTCATAATATTTATTAGCCACCCAAAAGCAAACCAGTATTGTTGCAGAACTCTTCAACTCCATTTGATGATTCAGCCATCAATCAACTATGCCACAATCTCAAAGATCAAATCAGTTATGGTCAGCTTTATGAATCATTTGTATTCATTCTACTCATTCGACATGTATTCCCCAAGGATTCATTACTCTTAGGCCACATAACTATACCTTTATCCGGCTTAGACTGGCTATGCTCTTAGAAACTCACATAGCCGGAGTTCCATATGTCTGATTGACCACTTAAGCAAAATCAATAGAGTAGTGGAAGCAAGGGTTTAGGAAGAAAAGAAATGGAAGAAAGGGTAACAATATCTTTTCATATTAATTTTAATAGAGTAGTGATTATTTTTGCTCAATAGTAGAATTGATGGATAAAAAATAGAGATTTTTACATTCCTATACCATATAGAAAACCTTATTACCCTCAATGTTTAAGGTTTGATATAATTACATTTAGTATACCAAATTACTAATTCTATACCATAGTATTTTTTAAGGGTACAATTAATGCATCGTATATCCCTCCTTAATTCAAGGTACCGTATATCCCACCCCTCCCACGTTTCTCTCTCCCAAACCACTATGATTAATCAAATCGTTCAGAGATATTAACCTATCTGTTAACTCTATTTCCTGTGCCCTCAACACATTATTCTGAGCAGTGCAAAATGTCAACCTCTCTGTAGTCTCTTCAATTTTAGCCACAATGGTTCTGTTGGCAGCTTGTAATTTGCTGACTTCCTTTGTCAATTCTTGCACAAGATTTTGTTTCTTCATCCTAGATCGCCTTGCAGATTCCCTATTTGAAATCATTCTTTTCCTTTTCTTTTCACAAATTTGCGTTTTTAATATCCCAATTTGCTGACATTTTTTTCCTTCTCTGTAACCTTCAGTATTTTTATGTTGTTTTGGTTTCAATGAAAAATTGGGACTCAAGAATAAAATCAAGATCAACTCCCATTCAATTGTAGCTTAATTGGTATTTTTGACATAATTGCGTTTTTTGCAGAAGATTTTCTAGAAGTTTTAGTCGTTTTGGATTTGTGAAAACAGAAAACAATGCATCTACAATCAGAATATAAATAATCTACAATTTTATCTACAAAATATCTACAAACTGGGTACATTGAATTTTAATATCCCAATTCCCATTTCAATTGTAGCATAATTGGCATTTTCGACATAATTGCGTTTTTTGCAGAAGATTTGTAGAAGTTTAGTCGTTTTAGATTTGTGAAAAAAATAAAGCATCTACAATCAGAATACAAATAATCTACAATTTATCTACAAAATATCTACAAACTGGGTACATTGAATTTTAATATCTCAATTCCCATTCGATTGTAGTTTAATTGGAATTTTTGACATAATTGCGTTTTTTGCAAAAGATTTGTAGAAGTTTTAGTCACTTTTTATTTGTGAAAACAAAAAATAAAGCATCTACAATCATAATACAAATAATCTACAATTCATCTACAAAATATCTACAAACTGGGTGTATTGAATTTTAATATCCCAATTCCCATTTCAATTGTAGTTTAATTGAGATTTCGACTAGACATAATCTTAAAGATTCATTATAGTATTCTCAATTATAGATTGAGGGATATATGTTAGGAAGCTACATCAACTACTTTGTCGAGTTTGAAAAATACTACCTAGGTGACATCAACTGTTAGATTTGTCAACTTATTATTTTTCATGGAAAAAAAATATAATAATATTTTCAGCTACAAGTTTAATGAGACTATAAGCAGAAAGATTAGGTGAAGCAGAAAATGCAGAAAATGCAGAGATATTTGCTTAGTTTCTTCGTTTTGTGGATTTTGTTTCTTCGTTAGGTGAAGTAGAAAATGCAGAGATATTTGGTTGCTTAGAAAATGCAGAGATATTTGCTTAGATATCTAAATAAGGAATTTTAATGCTACAATAATTCCTTATTTAATGAAATATCTGGAAGAATATGTACTTCCATAATTGTAGCGCGCCTAAATAGGAATATCTGGAAGAATATTTAGTTTTAGATTTGTAGCGCGCCTAATTAGGAAGGAATCAGCTCCTAATAATTGGTATTTAATGAATGATATAATATTTGTAGAATAACTGTGAACATGGCGGTTAAATATTCATTTTTGATAATAAGGTTTCATATATGGTATATCACATTAAATAGTGGCTACCCAGCCATTTTTACTATAAAAAACCAAGACGAGGGCCCGCCTTTGAGGAATTCGAAATCATGGCGTCACTCCATTCCCGCAAAAATGGCGGTTCTAATTTGAGAGATTCAATGTCGAAGAAACAAAATAATGGAGTTGAAGAAACCCTAGACCGTTTGAGTCAGTTGCCGGACGCACTTTTGGTACAAATCCTCTCTCTTTTGCCGACCAAAGATGCCGTCGCATCCTGTGTTCTCTCAAATCGGTGGCGTTTCCTTTGGTATTCAATTTATAACTTCCATTTCATTAACAGTAATTACAAGACAGAAAACTTCATATACTTTGTTGACCACGTTTTAACTCATTGTACTAGTTCCAAAATCAAAAAATTCAAACTCGATTTTGATTACATGTCTAGATGGAACTTTGAGTTGGAAACCAGCCGATGGATTAATTTTGCTGTTGAAAGAAAAGTGGAAGATATTATATTATGTTCAGATGATGAAGAACTAACTTATAAATTGCCTTTATCTATTGGCAATTGTTCATCATTAATTACATTGAATTTGAGCCACTGGGTGTTTGATAAAGGACTGGCCATAGTTTGGAACTCTCTAAAGAGCCTAAATCTGTACCTAATAAGTTTAGATGACGACGATATTGTGAACTTACTATCAGGTTGTCCTGCTTTGGAAACTCTGGAGCTGTCATTCTTCCGGGGTTTTAGTCGTCTTGAAATTAAGTCCTCGAATTTGAAGAGACTAACATTGGCAAGCCATTGGCGGCCTGATGCCGAAAATGATGGTTCTTTGGAAATTATTGCCCCCTATCTTCAACATTTAGAGATTTCAGGAAATCTTTATAATCTCATGTGTAGGCTTGTAGATGTGTCTTCCTTAGTTAATGCGAAGCTTACTTTCAACAATAAATGTATCAAAGGAATCGGGGCTTTAGGTACAGGTGGTTTTGATGATGAGGAAGAAAATTGTGATTATTCTCATCAAGTTTTGAGGACACTCGTGCAAGATTATCTTCATAAGTTGAGTTATGCAACCGAGCTATCAATTGGAAATTGCTTCAGAGAGGTTTGTTTTTAATTCAAAAGTCCTTATTTCTCTATTGATGTTTACTAGTCGTTATAGAATAAAAACATTATACATTGAGAACCTTTGCACAAATTTCACAAACAACAATTCATTCTTAAATTTTCTAAATGGATTTTTTTCTAAGCGTTGAACAGATAAATTTATTTTAACTACCTGAGATATGGATTGTAGTAGTAAGAAGGGGTAAATCAACTGAGTATATTCAACTTTTTAAAGTCTTTCTAATTCCTATAAGAAAGGAGATATGTTTGAAAATGCAAGCTCCGCTTGAGGAGTGGTCTTTAGTTGTTTATAAGCGCAACAGGATTAATTACTGAAAGGTGTGGCCTTCTGTGCCTTTTTGCAATCCGTTTGTTAACTTTTCAAAATTGGATATTTCTTTTATGATACCGGAAAAAGATACATCTTGCAACCAAGATCTTTTTACATTGATGTTGCTTAAAGTGTTTCCGAGGACATGAACCTTGATAGGAAGGTGTGGAGGTCGAGCATTAGGGTTGTAGGTTAGGAGGTAGTTGAGCAATTTCTATTTCGTACAGGGTGTGAGGCTAGCCTGATAGGATTTCGTCTTTGATTGCTAGTGGTTAATGTTGTGTTCACTGTTCACACTATTCTTCTGTTTTCCATAGTATAGGGCCTTATTTACTTGTTATTGTTACTGCTTTTCATCTATTTTCGGGTTCTTATGTCGCTGTTATTATTTCTATGTTTTCTGTTGATGGTACTGATGTATTTGTTTCTTTTCGTCTTCTTGAGCCGAGAGTCTTTCGGAAACAACCTCTTTACTCCCTCGGGGTAGGGATAAGGTCTGCGTACTCACTACCCTCCCCAGACCCCACTTGTGGGATTTTGACTGAGTTGTTGTTCTTGTTGCTGCTGCTGCTGCTTAAAGTGTTTAGATTTGTCACGACACTATCTCTCTGCTGTGAAGTACTTTCTTTTTGTTGTTAATGCTTTCAACATTCTTTATTGGTTTCATTTGTTTCACTGCACCAGGTCCTGTGTGCCTTGAAGTTTGAAGGGGTGCCATGGGTGCTGATTCCAGACCTGAAATGCAAATATCTTACACTAGAGTTGTATATAGGAAAGTTTAATTTGCATGGAGTAGCTGGACTTTTGCGAGCGTCACCTCATGCGGACACACTCAACATAGACATCGCCATTATGCCTGTAACTTCCTGGAACATTTTCTTTTCTTCTTACGTCTATTCATTTTATGAAATTTGAACAACCTCCCCTCCCAGGAAGTTGTTTTTGATGGAGAATGCAAATATATCTGTAATTGTCCGTAAGAAGCTTGCTTTTGTCACTATAAAGCTTCACATTAATATGGTTGGTGTTGTCGCTTTCTTTGAGGCAAATGAGCTTCAAAGCAAAAAGTACTGTTGCGCTATCACTCTTTGGTTAGGTTACGTGCTCGATGAATCTTATGATTGGAACAGCCCTCTTAATCATTTTCCATGTACCATTAGGATTCATTGGTTCTGAAATTTTTATGACAAAACACTTCTACTGTGAAATCAATTTTTGTACCTTTCTGCAGTTTCATTAGGCTTACCTGCATTTGATCCTGAATATATTTTCCGTCTCCAGTATGATAGTTCCTGCCGCTGCTTTGAGTCAAAATATTCGGCCAAAGGAGATAATAATGATATGGAGAGTTGGATTTCAAGCTATCAGTTTCCCAACCTCAAGAATGTTAGGATTGGCATCTCCGTTGGGGAGTGCTTGAAGTACAGTTTCCAATGGCAATTAAGAAAGCTTTTCAAACTTTCAGAATTCCTGTTGAAGAGTTCAACGATTTTGGAGAAGTTCACTATCACATCAGAGAAAAGAAAGTGCAAGAGATGTTCAATGAACTGTGAGTCCCGACTTTTATCTCAATTGGCTGAGAAATTGTTAGGTTGTGCAAGATCCTATGCCAATCCTGTAATTATCTTCCAGGAGTGAGTTTTCCATGACTAGACTGCAAGTAGTTTTCTGTCTCAGGATACGAGAAATTTCGCCTTAATTGAGTTTTATGATAAACTGCTTATGCAATCATGAACCTTTAGCTTCTCTGCGGGACAAGTTTCTACTCTGTTGAACTTACCCTTATGGCATACTTAATGTTATAGTAAGCTTGGTTTTCTCATGAAGCTTTTGTTTGTTGCAGTTTAGATGTTGTATATATGCATTGAGATATCTTTGCAACACTTGTTTTCCTTGACCTATTAAGATGATCACATCTACAAGCCACATTAGTGATAATTAGCCTTACGAAGTGTTTGTCTTTTGCTACCTAGCTTTGTCAGTTGCATCAAGGTCTTTGAATATGATGGTTCCCTTTTTGGCTTTTTTCTTGGAAAAAAAGGGGTCTGCATTGTTTGTTTACCTCAAATAATTTTAAGCAGTTGTCATTGAGGCTTACGATGCTGTTAAATCTTTCCCTTTGAGATTAAGGTTATAATAATAATGTTTGATTAGATCTATCTGTTTAATTCACCTAAAATCTCCATTCTTCAGGCAGATTTTAGTTGTCTACAGTAGAATCGTGTAATTTAGTAGCTCTAACTGTGGGTTGTGCTCTTTATTTTTATATTTACTAGTATTAGGAAGATTTCATGAAAATAAAGGAAATGGTGATGCATCATATTGCATTCACTTCTAAGAATAAATAACATAAAAAGAACCTTCAATACCTACTTTGATTATCATACATTTCTATAGATTCTTAATCCTATTAGGAAGATGCTGAAGTAAATACTATCTAATTACCAATGGTACATGGGGGCCTTCTCTTGGAGTTCATCTGTCTGAACTTTGGATTGGCTTCAGGATGGCGTAAATAAATAAACTATTGATAAAGTTAAATAAATAAATTGAACTATACACAATCTGGTTTAGACTTTAGAGCTTCATACTCCAATTGCAAGATCATGGCTCTCCTGACTCTGAATCGTTTGGACTGCAATTGATCACAGTATCATCTGGCCTTATCATGAGACTCTGAATAAAGGCTAGCATCTGCAGTATCATCGATCGTATTACATACAAGATCTTACTAGAACTAAAGAGAAAGTGCAACAGAGGATATGTAAATAATGCTAAAGTGCTTACTGATGCAAAGGCAGCACAGGCTATACCGAATCCTGGGAAATGGAAGGGTGCATTTTGCGACAGAAATAAAGCTAGAAGAAACACCATGTTAGTTAGATTAAGTTGACTTAGGTCTGAAAAAATGATAGCAGAGAATTGGCAGAATAAAAGGGGTTATGTTAGTTTAGCTACCTGTTAAAGGGCTAAAAACTAGAGGAGAAACTACACTTGCAAATGAACATATGCCCGTGATGCATCCTTGAACCTTTCCCTGAAAGGAGAAAATAAAACTAAAATCAGGTAATGGGCAAGGTAATAGACAAGGATCCTTTTATAGTAGTAACATCATATTGTGAGCAAGTTGTAGCAATTCTTGAAAATGTACCTGTTCATTTGGTCCAATTTGCTTAGATGCAATGCTCTTTAACTGCAATTAACGCAAACTCTTTATCAAAATTTTAATGTTTTAAACTAATGAACAGCAGAAGGATTATTGTAATTAACTTACACATGGCATTGCGAAAATAGAAAACACAGATATCAAAGCACTTGCATAAGGGACCTGCACACATTAGCAAAATCCTTAATCATCTCGAAAATTGGATGAGGCATTAAAACAATATAACATAAAGAGAAAAAAACAGTAAAAACATATGAAATGGACTGGTAAAGAAGTGAGGTTACTACCCAAGAGGACCAAGCAATACTGTAAAGTAACATCTGCATTTTAAATTGGAGACAATATCAGTATACAGAGATTACTGAATACTTTAAACAATGAAAAATAGGTGTAATTAAGATAGATAAAATTAGCTTTGTACATGAAGAAAACTGAAGAAGAGTCCAACAGAAAGCAACTTCTCTTCTCCAAGAGCAGGAGCTAATATGGGCATGAGAAGTAGCTGAAATAGTTCAAAAGAAACCAGAAATGTAAAAAATTAATTTAACAGCAAAAAAAAAAAAATGAACAATGAACATACAAAATCAAAAATGAGCCAAAATCAAGTTTACCTGTGATATGGATCCTGCTATACCAGAAATTATCAACAAATCAGCAAATTGATCTTTGTTAAAATGAAATTGCGCCTTCAAAAAATACTGCAGTGATTTTTATGAAAACCAATTAACTTGTAATTGAAGTCCTCCAATAAATAGAAATATAAACTAATTTCTTGTATATAACATTGAAAAATCAAACTTACAAGTAAAGAAGCCTCAAGTCCAACTTGAGCAACATTAACAAAGAATGAAACAACAGCTGCATGTAAAAATGTCGAGCTGCAACATATTCAAAATGCCTATATATAAGTATTTATGGGATGCAATCATAGGGTCTAAAGTCGATACATTGAGAATGAGTATGATCTTATTATATGTACGTTCCAATCTAACCTGGTCTTTAACAAGCATAGCATATCGCTGAAAGAAGGCAATGTCTTGAAAAATTGGAAGCCTTTCTTGGGAGAATTTTCCAAAAGACAAATGGTTTCTGTTTCTTTTGAGCAAATGTTACCTTTCATTATTGACTCAGGAAGGAACATTTTCATGTATGCTAAAGCTATCACCGCCATTGCTGCAGCAACCTACACATATAACTTTCAATATGAGCAGAGGCGGATTCAAGATTTGAACTTTATGTGTTCAGATTCGCGATTCTACCGCAGCCGATCTAATTTAATAGGTTCAAAATTTATTGTTTGTACATATTTAATGACTTTTTAGGCAGAAAGCTTGCCCCTTCCCTTTTAAGGTCTGCATACACACTACCCTCCCCAAATCCTACTTGTTGGAACACACTGGGTTTGTTGTTGTTGTTTAGGCAAAAAACGGGGTATGAGCGAAAGTTATGAGTTCAGATGAACCCATAGCCTCTATATTGGTTACGCCCCTGATAATAAGCATAACAACAACAACAACAACAACAACGCAGTATAATCCCACTTAGTGAGGTCTGGGGAGGATAGTGTGTACGCAGACCTTACCGCTACCCTGAGGTAGAGGCTGTTTCCAAATAGACCCTCGGCATCTTTTCCCTCCAAGAACTTCCCACCTTGCTCTTGGGGAGACTCGAACTCACAACCTCTTGGTTGGAAGTGGAGGTTGCTTACCATCAGAGCAACCCCTCTTGTCTAAAAATAAGCTAAGTACTCCCTCCGTTCCACTATACATAGCGAGTTTCGAGTACGAGGGTCAAATTACTTGTAGTTACTTTTTAAGTGACTTAATCGCATTTTTTTTCCTACTAAACACTAACTTAAGTCATAAAATTGAAGAAAATTGAAGATATGTCTCATACTTGGAAAGTGGAAGCAGTGGAGAGGAAGCGAGTAGAGATGTTTCCACAGACAAAAGCAGAAGAGGCAATTCCAGAGAGGACTCCAAAAACGGAGGCTCGTCGACTTTCTGGAACATTATCCGCCTGAAATATAAAACTTTATGAGTTCCTACAGCGATCTCAATAGGGTTTGAGCAAAAGTTATTGGGTTCACGTGAATTCGTAACCAACACTGTATATGTATTTAAGGTATGAGAATTACCACATAGGCAAGAGCAAGACACTGAACGCTTCCTTCGCAAATCATGGCAATGAGAGTTCTAAGCACGTAGTAAGCGTAGAAGTAGTACTTTGTCCTGCTGTAGGCTAATATCACTGTTTCCATTTCAATAAAAACAATTGTTAGATTTTCAAGACAGTAGTGTAATATTTTCATTTCGATTTTATTAACTAAAAAATTCGTATCCCAGCACATCATACAAACCTATATCAGCAAGTTGTTATTTTTTTGTTACTTTGATTTAATTAAATGTTTAAGAATTAGTAAATTTGTTCCGTCCAAAATGAAGTTTAAGTGGATTGAATTCATAATTCATTAGATGTTTCTTTACGAATGTCAACTATGTATTCAAAGTAAATTGCTTTCGGTTATTCAATCATCTCATAATCTGAGTCATTCTTTGGTAAATGATACTACTAACTACGAGTCACACTCAATAGAAGCTAACGTAAAACGCTAATTAAAATTCTTTTTATGTACATAAATATCCTCTTTATATTAGGTGGGATATAGTCTCAGACCCGGAAACAGCCTCTCTATCCTTTCGGGGTAGGGGTAAGGTCTGCGTACATCCCATCCTCCCCAGACCCCACTAGTGAAATTTTACTGGGTACATGTTGTTATAGTCTCAAAGTAAAATTTGAAACAAAATGCATTGTTGATCTTCGTGGACTTGTTATCCATTTTGTACTGTATTTCCTATTTTAAAAGATCGAAAATACTATAAAATGATTGTTTTATATTATAGCGGCATCTATCTTTCTATAGAAAAAGAAAAACTACAAATAAACAAAGAAAGAAAATCTTGTTTTATCAATTGCCACCATATGGAGAAGTGTTGATAAAGGGAAAAAGGAAAAGGAAAGAAAGGGTAGAGTGGAGGAAAAGAGAAGGAAAGTGAAAGCAATATCAGTTTCCACTTTCAGTCCTCTTCTTTTAGGTGATGAAAACAAAGTTTAAATAGGTTGTAGGTTTCAGAAAAAGATTAATTTGGTTTTCTATGTGGATTTTTTCGATAAACAACATAAAAAAAAAAAAAAAAAAAAAAGGTATAGCAAAGAAAGAGGACAAGTTAAGTTTTCTAACTTGGCATTTGGATAATGTTTTAGGAATTTGTCGTTTCATTGTTTCTCAATGTTCAATTTTCTTTGAGTTCAACTTTCATGCATTAATAAACATTTATCAAGCTTAATTTATCATGCAATCAACTCACCTATTAGGTAATTACAAATAAATCTCTTAATAAACATTAATTGTTATTCTAATAAAAAATAGAAACTAACTTGCTATTATATATTAATAGTATAATTTTATTTTACATTATTAGTGTATACAACTTAAATCCACATTCATATTATCCATTACTTTGTGCACCATGGGAAAATGGACAAAGAATCCACTTAATCAGAGGCGGTTAAGGATTCGACCAAACTGATTTGTATTAAACTTTATATTAAACATGTATAATTTATTAATTTAGAACCTAATAACTTAAAAAGATTAGGATCCCGAACATATAATTTTGAAATCCTAGCTCCATCTTTGCACTTAACTGAAATGGATTAAGACATATAGTAGGACGTTTTTTTAAGTTCTCCTAAATACTCCCTCTTTCCAGTTTATGTGAACTTATTTCCTTTTGGTCCGTTCAAAAAAGAATGACCCCTTTCTGAATTTGGTAACAATTTAGCTTAAACTTACAATACTACCATTAATGAGAAACTTTTATAACCACACAAATACTATGGGCCCTTTTTGACTTATTTTGGACCACAAATTCCAAAAGTCTTCATTTTTTCTTAATCTTCATGCCCAGTCAAACAGGTTCACATAAATTGAAACGGAGATAGTACTAATTACACAAATGTCAATCACAATCAAATCAGATGTGGAATTGCTTTAATATCCCATTAAGTTAAGTGGAAAAGGAAAAAGAAAAAAAAGAAATGATGAAAATGGAGAAAGAAATTACCTAGAGGGAAGATGGAAAGGGTCATGGGAACAGTTAGCATGACTTTTCTCCCATAAGTGTCTGACAAATTCCCTAATACTGGCATCATCACTAGTGATCCCATTCCTACTATCTGCAAAATAGTCATGCGCAAAAATATCCATAAAAACTTTTAATTTCAAAAAAAAAAAAAGGGAACAAAATAAAAAATTGGCGGAATTAAAGGGAAGTCCGGTACATAAAGTATCTCGCATTTATATAAGGTCCGGGGAAGGGCTGCACCACAAAGGGTGTGATGTGGACAACCTATCATAATGCAAGCATTAATGACTGCTTCCACGGCTCCAACTCGTGACCTGTAGGTCACACGGAGACAACTTTACGATTGCTCCAAGACTTCCATTTGAAAAATTGGCGCAATTAAACTTCTAAATTTAGATAGCACAAAAAGAAGCTACAACCGTTAAGTCACTACTCTATATACAGAGGCGGATCCACAATTTGAACTTTATGGGTTCCTTCATCAATCTCAAGCTAATAACTGGGCTCACAGTAAAATATGTAAAGATTTTTAATGAATTTTTTTATGCATATGGTCAAGGTAAAAGCTACTAGGTTCCCAGAAACTCACATCAATATAATACATTTAGATCCGTCATTATCTATATATAGTTGAGATTCCTCCGCTCTTAATTAGAGATATCAAATTCGAGCCTTAAAAATAGATAATTTCCTAGTATTGAATGTTTTGGCCCCCCATAGTAAGGTTGGGCGTAATTTGGTAAATACTGAATTACCGTACCGAAACCGAAAATTTTAGTATTTGGTATTCGATATTATGGTATTCGGTATAGTATTTGGTTTAAATTTTAAAAATAATTGGTATTAGATATGGTATTTGATATTTTAAAATGAAATACCGAAATACCGATATCGCACCGAAATATATATTATATTACACAATACACATATTATTAATTATAACATAATATATAAAATCTAAAATTTTACTATCCGTTATTCTCTAAGTTCATCAATTAACTCTAAGCAAGTAACAAGACATTTCTAATGATCAAATTTATTTCTTTATGTATTGTTTTCTCACTCTCGAGGTGATATTTGCTTGTTTTGGACAAAATATTTGTCAACAAACATTTTTAGTTTTGTACTTTTGAGTACTTTAATTAAGAATATTACAGTCTATGACTCTACGCACTAGTTAGTATTCAAACCGATTAAACCGAACCCGAAAGGAGAAAAACCAAACCATACCGAATTTAATTAGGTACGGTATTGGTATAGCATTTTAGAAAATCGAATACCGAAAATATCGAACCGAAATATTTAAATACCGTACCGTACCGACCGACGAACGCCCCTACCCATAGTGGCTCAACCGTTGCAAATCTAGATTAATCGTGCCAGTAGACTTCAAATACCAACTTCAACAAGTTAAAAAGAAAAGTAAAATACAAACAAAAAAGTATGTATAGTACTTTAAAGGGTAGCTTAAGAGGGAAGCAGCACAAATAATAACACGAGACTTCTGTTCCCTGACAAATGACGAACTCTTAAAAAAATCAGATCAAAAAAGTTAAAAAAGTAATAATTCATTTGCCAGTGAAGGAAGTTTCTTAAAGAACCAATGAAGAAGACTTAGACGAGGAAACTTCCTATATAAAGTGGTCCAAAAATGTAATATGCATTCGATTATTATCGTACCATAGGCGTGGAGACTAAATTCATACATAGATATATAATAAAATACGTGCTATTTGTATATCATGCCCCTTTAAAATTTGAATTTAAGAAAAATGGCCTTTTTAGATATCTTATGCGTAAGAGACAGATTTATTACATCTAAAAGTAAATCTCCTATATATAAAAACAAATTTGTAAGGAGCCAAAAAATTAATTGACCCGATATATACCAGTGCGGTACGTACTAAGATTCTTTATCTAGCTAATGAATTAAAAGCATCCGCTTTTTTTTTTTCTTTTTTTCTTTTCTCTTTAACTTTTTTCATGTTTTATTCGAGTTGTTACTTTTAGTTTCTTATTGAACATTTATTTTCATGCCATTTTCACTAATTCTGGACGGGCTAATGGAATTAACAAGAAAATATAATGTACTAATTTAACTTGTGAATGTATTAGAATTTACATCACTTATAATTCCTTTTATCAAACTAGAGCACATATGTTATTGTAGTGAGAAAATACTATATAAGATAAAAATTTCTTGATATGGTTATTATTGTAATACTAGTAGATTTTATTTAGAGTTTAACTTTTATATGTTGATAGTAGTTTAAACGAATTTTATACTATTAGGTCAGCCAAAAGATATTGTCAAGTAAAAAATTCATAGAAAATAAGTGTAGTAACTAAAGTCACAAATAGTAATTAACAAAAATATTACTTCAAACTTAATCACGGGTCAATTAATTAATTTAGACAATTAACAAATGACACTAGTACGTTGATATTATCCGTAAAAGAGACACTAAAGCAAGGAGAGTTGATTGTGAGATAAGCAATGAATAAATGTCATTTTGATGTGATAATAGAGGAGGGGGAAAAAGGAAGCAATAAGCCATTACTATGTGAAGAAGAAAGTAGAAAGAGTAGATAACTACAGTCACATGGATGATAAAAGCAAATTTTCCACTTTTTCTTGAAATGGCTATACGTATTGTGTATAATTACAACTCAAAAAATTAAAGTAATGTTAATGAAAAGGAAAAGGAGATAGAACCTCTTTTTTTTTTTCTTTAGACATTGGATATTCAAACTACTGGTTCAACTAATCTTGATTCGCGTAGAAATAGTAAAAGATTCTTTATTTAATGATTTGAATATCAAACTTCTGATTAAGAATACGCTTTATAGTAAAAGATTCTTTATTTAATGATTTGAATATCAAACTTCTGATTAAGAATAGAAGAATTCCAACCCATTCTCAAATAGTACGTAATACGTAAGAATGGAGGAATTCCTCGTGTGTTGTGATCACAGAACCCCCTTCTGTGATCGCGGCATAAGTCTGAACGGATTCAGACACAACTACAACCATCCACACAAGTCACAAATAGTTATATTAACCAGGGGCGAAGCCACCTTTTGATCAGGGTGGTCAATTGATCATTCTTTGTCGAAATATTACGAAAAATTACACTGCGTATATAAGTAAAATATTAGATTTTAGATGTATATAACATATATTGAACAACCTTTGTCAGAATTTTTTTTACTTCTTTCAGATCTGAACATCGTTGAGAAATTTTCTGGCTTCGCCACTGGTATCAACACAGTTAACCAAAACGAGGGAATGACATGTTACAGTCTCAGAGTCTGAGGTAAGAAAAGTAATGGAGGAGGAAATATTACCGCTTGTTGAATTCCAGTGAGGTAAATAGCAAGGGAGCATTCATCTTTGCCTGGACAAATGGCTGATAAAGTGATATCAGTCATAGGTGGGATTACCATAAATGTTGAGAAGCAACTCAGAAATACTGTCATAAATAGATGGCTAAGCCCAGAAAATTTCTCCATTGCCTTTCTTCTGTCTATCACTTCTCTGTTTTCTAGTTTTGTTGCTCTTTTGCAGCTCCAAGAATACTGAATTTAAACAAAACAGAAAAGAGAAAAAGTTGTAAAATAATACCAAGTCATGAAATGACATAAGAAAAGAGGTTAAAGAGCAAAAAACAACTAACCCCAAATCTTGAAAGGACATAAGAAGGATCTTAAAAGCAGAGAAAGAAAATTTGTTTCTCTCTGTCTGATCCTATGAATTTATGACTTTAATCTTTTGAATGATCTTTTTCTTTTTTGCATGCTAAAGTATCTTAGGAAAATAGTGATTTCTTTATATATTTATACAGTATGAGGAAAAGAAAATGAAGGAAGTTACCAACTAAATGATAAGCAAGTAAAAACAGGGGAAAGGAAAAGTGGTTGTAATATGGTTCAAGGGGGACATATAATGGCACACTAAATATACAAGATGAGTCATTTAAGTCAAAAGAGTAATGAAAGTGCGACGTTGAAATGATGCGTAGCTTGCAAGTTCATGCAAAACCATGAAACATAAAAGTTAAAAACTCATTACATATAATTGTACTCGTGTCTGGATTAGTTTGTGTGTATTTCGATTATTATTTTTTGGTACTTGTTTTTTTCAGTGAGGATTTATATTTCTATTCTAATTTATTGGAGGCCAGCTTGTTTCGATAGTTCTTATGTATCGTTTTATAATGTATCGTATTGTACTGTATCGTTTTGATGCATATAATATTTGGATAGATTGTATTGTTTTCCATCGTTTCACGATGCCATGCACCAACAATCAGAGGCGGCTCAACACAACATGTGGCCTAAAGCGAAAATTTAAAGAGAGGCCTCAAAAGACATTCGAGGTTAAGAAATGCTTTTTCATATCTAATACTTTGATAATTTCATTAGCTTAAGATTGAAAAATTGTCTAAAAAAACACTTAAAGAATAGAAGAAGATTCTACAAAATCATAGTTATAAACAAAATTGGTTCAAGTTGAAGTGAGTTAGACAAATTAAGAAGTTGAGCCCATCCACCATGCGTGAGGTAACAAAAAAGAATAATAAAATATACGAAAAAAATGCAAATTTAATAATCTACAATTTTTAGTATAAACTTTAAAAATTGACAATAAATGTTAAAATTAATTTATTTATCTATAATAATAATTACATAATTATTTATACTATATATAATTTGAGTAAATTTGGGGCCTTAATTTTACGGGGGCCTAAAGCCACTGCTTTAGTGGCTTTAGGGTTGAGCCGCCACTGCCAACACTATGAAGAATAAACTTGCAATATTACAAAGATAAAGTAAGATACGAAGCAAAATTATTATATAAAAAGGTAAGATAAAGGATAAAATATAATTATTTAATAATAAAGAAGGGCAAGATGAGAGAAAAGAACAAGGTAACGATATAACCATACCAAATCGATGTTTGGATGGTTGTTATGTGGATTGTATTGTCTGCCGTCGTTTCATGATGTCATGCACCAATAATATGAAGAATAAACTTGCAACATTATAAAAAAGAAGTAACGTATGAGGGAGAAATATTATATAAAAAGGTCGGGTAAAGGATAAAATAGTATTATTTAACAATAAAGAAGGATAAGATGAGAGAAAAGAATAAGGTAACGATGCGACCACACCAAATCGGTCGTTCCATAAAGTGGCACTTTTCGTTGTTACGTAACCACGGATTTAACGATACGAAACAATAAAATTTAAGTAACAATCAAAATAAACATTGTATTTAAAGCAGGGGCGGATTCATAGCCCCAATTATGGGGCATGTTAACCCTTCGTTTCACCATCAAACTAGGTATTTTATGCACATATTTTCTAAAATCTAATATTATCTATTGGCACTCATACTCCAAAAAGATTGAATGGTGCACTTGGTTGAATATTAGGATATTTACCTTGAGAAATAAGGATCAATTCCCACTCAATACTTTTTTGTTCTACTTTTCTTAGTGGTGGACCCACGTTCAGAAAATCCTAGATCCGCCTCTGATTTAAAGTAACCATCCAAACAAGCTGTAAAGTGGCATTTTTCGTCGTTACATAACGACGGATTTACCGATATGATATAGTAAAATTCAAGTAACAATCAAAACAAATACTCCCCCCGTTTCAATTTAAATGAGGTAGTTTAACTCGGCACAGTGTTTAAGAAGAAGAAACAAGAAGACTTTTGAAACTTATGGTCTTAAGAGCTTAAGGGGTAAAAGCTTTGTGGGGCCATGGCATTTTAGTGGTTCTAAAAGCTTCTCATTAAGGGTAAAATGAAGAGTTTAATGTTGAATTATTTTTAAATTTAGAAATACGTCATTTATTTTGGAACAGACCAAAAAGGAAAGTATCTTAGGGCTGTGCATAATTTGGTTAATACCGAATTACCGTATCGAAACCAAAAATTTTGGTATTTGGTATTCGATATTTTGGTATTCGGTATGGTATTTGTTTAAATTTTATAAAATATTGGTATTAGGTATGGTATTTGGTATTTTAAAATGAAATACAGATTTACCGTTATCGTACCGAAATATATATTATATTACACAAAACACATATTGTTAGTTATAACATAAGTATACAAATCTAAAATTTTACTTTCCTTTATTCTCTAAGTTCATCAAATTTTTTTTGGTTAAAAAGCTGCATTTCATTAAAAACTACCCGTTAGGGTGCCAACTGACAGTAGCATTGTTTCGAGGGGGGTATATCAATTCACCCTCATTGTGACTAGAGTTATCAATATTACAATCCAAAATTTGTCTTGATGAAACAGTTCCTGTGATGTCTGCCCAAAAAAGATGTGCGGCAAACACCGGAGGAACTGTTGTTACAAAAATATTTTCAAAAAAGTTCTTCTTGGCTCCCTCCTTGGAAAGTATATCAGCTACTCTATTCGTCTCCTTGTAGCTGTGCTTCACCACCACGTTTTCTAGCCTTTGGATGATTGACCTGCATTCAAAGATGATTGAGTCAAAAATACGGTTTCCATTAGTAAGCATTATAATTACCTCTGTGGAGTCTGTGTTGATTTCCAAGGGTATAAGATGCCTTTCTTCCGCTAGTTGCAGACCCCTTAGGATAGCAAGCAATTCATCCTGTGTGTTGGCAGTATGCTGAATACTCCCCATGTAGCCTAGAATCCAGTACCCGCTTGCATTTCTAAAGACTCCTCCCACTCCTCCCTTGCCGGGGTTCCCTAGTGCAGCTCCATCAATGTTGAGCTTGTACATATTGGTGGGGGTTGGCGTCCATTTGACCCAGATAGTTCTATTTTTTGATGGTGCACTACTTATTGAAATGGTAATATACTCAGTTTCTTTTGCCATGGCAGCTTTTAAATTTACCACATCCTTTCTTTTGTTGAATAGGTTATTGTTTCTTGTGAGCCAGATTTGCTAGAAGCAGAAAGGAAGTAGATCTTCCCAATTGATGATGCTGTTGAAGGGTTTCTTTTTAATGAAATCCCATATGCTTTGCAAGTCCCTACTATTGAAGGATGATACATGGCTTGGAAGAGGGTTGGTACTTTCAGAAACAAGCCTTGTCCAGAATGTTTTGGCATTGGGGCATTCAAAGAATGTGTGAGCAGATGTTTCGACTGCCTGGTTGCAGAAGCAACATTTTAGGTCTAATTGGATCCCAATATGATGGGGGAAGGACCCAGTGGGGAGCCTGTCATGGAATAGAAGCCAGAAGAAGGATTTGATTTTATTTGGAACTTTCAATTTCCAGATCCCCAGGTAATTGTTGCTTGTGTTTTCACAGTGCTGATGCTCAAGGTTGTGTAGGAGGGAGTATGCTGACTTTAGAGTGAAGATCCAATTACTGGTAGCCCCCCCAGATCATTCTATCTTCTTTTATTGGGTTGGGTGGGATAAAAGTATTGTGGATGGTGTTTTTGATACTTGGGGGTATGTTTAGTGATATAGAAGAAAAATCCCAATCCCAGTGTTGTGGGCTGATGCCACTGTAATGGCCATGTCCTCTTTGGTAAGAGGTCCCTCAATAATGGATCTGATTAAGGGGAAGTTTGGGGTCAAAGGGTCATTAATGAAGTTGACTCTGTTTCCTGAGTGGACAACCCATCTTTTGTCTTGCATTCATGTTTCCCACCCTTTAAGGATGCATTGCCAAGTATGAGACTTTGATTTTTTTGGTGGGTGTCTCCAGTTGCAGTGCTTGGCTATAAGGGTTTTTGCCCAGAGGGAACGGGGGTTCTGGTAAAGCCTCCATGCCAGCCTTGGGTGGATTGCTTTGTTCTCCAGCTCAGCTTTCCAAAATTCCCAAACCACCCCGTGTCTTTGATTTTATGACTATGTCCCAGGACAGCAAATGCAATTTCCTTTTGACACTGGTGGTACCCTAAATGAAATTCCTGTTGGATTATGTCAATTTCTTTTAATGTTTTGGATGGAAGTTTAATGTATTGCATGACATGGTTAGGCATTATATTGAGTGATGATTTCGCTAGGGTAGTTCTTCGAGCCATATTGAGCATGTTAGTTTTCCATCCGGCCAATTTTGTGTGTAGATTGTCAATGATGAATTGGAAGTCATTGTGGGTGTGTCTTTTATGGAAGATTGGAAAATCCAGGTATTTCTCAAAGGCGGCTGATGCCTGGATGGCCAGGATGGTTGAAATGGTTTCCATTTGTTGTGGCTGGCAGTTGGCACTGAAACAGACTTTGGATTTGCTGAGATTGATTTTCTGTCCTGAGGCCTGGTTGAAAGAGTTGAGAGTGTTGAGAATTGTGCTGTAGTTTCCCTGATTAGCTATAGCAAACAGAGTTAGATCATCAGCAAAAAAGAGATGAGATATCTTTGGACCGGATCTACTAATGCTAACGGGGGCCCATTCCTTGAGTTGGACACTTCCCTTAATAGACCTGGATAACCTTTCCATACAGAGGATGAAGAGGTAGGGTGTCAATGGATCCCCCTGCCTAATACCTCTTGTGGGTTTAAAAGAGTTTGTCTACTCTCCATTTACAAGGATAGAGATGGATGAAGAGCTGACACAAAGACATTATGAGGTTGATTGTGTCATTGGGGATTTGAAGACATGAAGGGTCTCTTTTATAAAGGACCATTCAAGTTTGTTAAAGGCCTTTTCCAAGTCAATCTTTAGAATCATGTGGGGTATTTTTCTTTTCATCTTCCCAAAATGGGTAATGTATTCCTGGACTATGATGGCATTATCAGAAGCTCTCCTGTTGGAGAGGAAGCTAGCCTGAGAAGTGCTAATGATAATGGGCAAGAAAGGTTTGATTCTGTTTACTAGAATCTTAGTAACAATTTTGTAAACAGTATTGCATAAACCTATGGGCCTAAAGTTCTTGATCATAGATGCCTGAGGACATTTGGGAATGAGGCAT